CCCACCCAGCCCCAGGCCCTCCAGGGCCACGCCCTTCCCAGTACCACACCCTCCAAGGCATGCCCGCCCAGCCCCAGGCCCTCCAGGGCCACGCCCTTCCCAGTACCACACCCCCCAAGGCATGCCTGCCCAGCCCCAGGCGCTCCAGGGCCACGCCCTTCCCAGCGCCACACCTTCCAAGGCATGCCCGCCCAGCCCCAGGCCCTCCAGGGCCACCTCTCTGAGGGCATGTCATCCAGGCCACGCCTATTCTGGGCGCTCCGCCCTCCTCCACCTGGCCCAAGTGTTTCTTCTCCTCAACCCTCCTTCCTGGCAACCGCAGCCTCCCAACTTGGCCCAGGTTTTCCTCTGGAAACATGTAAATTAATGAGTGTTTGTAATTACAAATCTTACAAAAATAAGTTTAGAAGTGAAGCTGCCTTTTAAACAAGGCAGTTCTTGGGGCGTGGGCCATGCTGGCAGGTGCAGGGACCCCCGGGAAGCCAGTGGCCTCGGTCAGTTCTACTCATCAGGGAGCGCAGGTACTGACAGGTTCCCAAAAGGTAGTCCCTGGCAGCCCTGTGAGAACTCGCGCCCTGGAGTGTCCCGTGTCCTGCTTTAGCCGTCTCTGAGGGGTTGTGATGGATCCTTTTCTGTGCCAGCTTCACCTAGGCATTCGTACTTTCTCTTTGGAGTACCTTGTTGTGGGCCATGCCGCTAACAGGCTCTTGTGTTTCTTTATTTAAAAGTAGGAGTGCAGGGACTATGAAGTGAGGAAGCAGCAGTTATGCGGCTGAGCCTAGGAGAGCTATGGCAACCCCAGGCGACTGCCCCAGGCGTGAATCGGAGGTAACTTCTGTTCTGATTGGTGGGAGTGTGTTTGTGACCAGTGTGCACACTGTTGAGGACCCGACCAGGCTCTGTGTGAGAGCCCACCTTGTCCCTTGTAGGTCCAGGCAGGAAATGCAGGGCTGGTAAGCCCACAGACCCTCTTCTAGGGAGACTCTCAGGATGCCCCAAGATCACAGTCACCCAGGTCCCTGGCCGGTGCCCCAGATGCCTCTGGGCTGCTCGTGCAGTGCCAGGCGTAGGCCCTGGCTCCATGCACTGGAGAGGACTCCTGTTGGCCTGGGGTTTATGTAGATATTATTCAAGTTAGTGGTGAGAAATGTCACCTTAAATGTTAAGGAATGTTGACTATGTTCAAGTAACCAAGTGGATACTCTAATAAACAGTGCTTTAAAAAATTAACATTTCCATGTTTGATGTCAATGTAGCATTTTTCTTTTATTCTAATGATCTGCCTTTTCCCTCATTGTTCTACTTTCATTGGGCTTCTATATAGAGAGATTTCATGTAGAATTGGCATATTTGATTAATCTTATTTCTTTTAACTAATCATCAAACGTTTTAATTCCATGGACATCCTATTTTTCTTTTGGGGAATTTTAATATTGGGACATTGAGAGAATGATACTTCAACAAGAACACATTTATGTAGAATTGAAAGTTTAATGTTTTGTTACATTAATATTTGCCTCAGAACTCACACACATAAAGTAACAACCCCAGAGTTAAAAGTCCCTTTCCCAGACCAGTCTGTGTCTGCTTCCTCTTTCTCGGAGGTGAATTATGACTTGATGTCGTGCTGTGCACCACTTCTTACCGTATGCCTTGCAGACATTCGAACAGTGCATGATATTTGTGTGTGCTTTATAAAGTTTAAGTGAGAGGTGTCCATTCTGTGTCCCTGTCGTTGGGGTGGCACCACTGTGGTGGACTCGTCCCGTGGGTGGTGTGCAGCTGGCCCAGTCCTGCTGCCTGTGCCTCACCTGAAGCGTCATGTGCACAGGTGTCTGTGGGGTGGAGGCTGTGTACCTGTGGTGTCTGCTGCCCTCCTATCGAGCTTCCAGTTTTCTTCCCATCACAGTGATGTGGGGAGTTCCTGGCTCTGCCCTGTGCTCCCTGCCAGGCAGCTGTGGTCGCTGGGGATTAGTCTAGGCTTTCCAGGGCCCATAGCATCAGCCTCTTTGAAAACAAAGCCAGTTAGCTCTTCTTTGTGTCCACTATTCTATCGGTCGCTGAAGGAGATGTGTTGAAGGAGGGCGCCACCATGTCTGAAAACGTGTCTGTTTCTCCTATTGGTTGTGCCACTCTGTCCCTATACTGGATCCCTGTTGTTGGATATGTGGCTTTAGGATAGATTAGGTGGCCTTTGATTTTTCTGATGAAATCTCTTTTCACTGTTGCTGAATACCTGGGCCCCATGATGCTTTTCCCTCTGTTGGTGTGGCTGGATGGCATTCCTGCAAGGGTGGCCTGTGGGGTGTGCACGTGCCTCTGCAGACCTGACTCCTCAGTGGTCTTAGGTCCTCAGAGTACAGTGTTTCCCTGGCACAGCTGTTCAGGTCTTTTTTTCCCGGTAGACAGTTTCCGCCCTTTAACTGGAGCCTTGTCTCCTTTGACATTTAATGTAATGACTGATGGGATCCAGCCTAACATCTTTCTGTTTGTTTCTTAGTTATCACGTTCCTTCTTGGTACATTTTTGCAGTCCTGCTCCCTCTTGGACCAGGACTTTGACAGTTCCTGCTCTTTCCCTTAGTGGCCCATCACCTGTACCTTTCCTGTTGTTTAATGGCTTCCCAGGAACCGGTGACATGGAATCCTGTAACTGTTCTCATCTTTCCCACTTCGCAGGAGAGAATCTCAGTCCCATTCCCACCCGCACATTTCTGTCCTGTTGTAGAGACCTGTGTCACTTCTGCCTGTCCTCAGCCCTGGCACAGATGCCTGCTGCCTGGTGCAGCTGAGCCTTTCCTGTAGTGTGAGGAGGGGTCTCTTAATTCCCCAGAGGTGCTTCTTGGAGGCCTTCATTTTGTACTCCTCCGTGCCCAGGGAAGCTCACTCCCTTGTTTCTGTGGTTAGTAGTGTGGGCTTGTTGTGTTGGATTATGTCGGTGTTGGTTTGAATGAGCATGTGTTTTGCTTTCTTTCTTTTCCTTTTTTTTTTTTTTTTTTTTGGTACCAGGGATCCACAACCCTTTTTTTATTTTGAGACAGGGTCTCGCTGAGTTGCTGAGCCTAGCTTTGAACTCATGATCTTCCTGCCTCAACTTCTGAGCCGCTGGTATTACAGGCGTGTGCCACCGTGCCTGGCTTGCTTTCTTTTCTTTCTTTTTTTTTTCTTTTCTTTCTTTTYTTTTTTTTTTTTAAGAATACGTCTGCTTGAAATGGAATTTTAGGTTAGCATTTTTTCCTGTGGTGCTGTGAAGATGTTACCCCATGGTTGTCTGGCTCCCTGGACTCTCTCCACTGTCTGCATTTAGGACTCTGAGTTGGTTCTGACTGGGGTTAGCTGAACTTGTATTTTAGAAAATCCCTTGTTGTCCCCAGGTGTCTCTGCTGCCTCTTCTCTCCCTGGGGACTTGGCATGGACATATGTCTTGTGCTCTGCTCTTCTTCCTTTTTGTGTTTCAGTGTGGATAGTTTCTACTAACCTGACTCCAAGTTTACTGCAGAGAGACAAAATAACTTGAAAAATAATATATTTGGGAAAACATTTACTCAAGATTGCAGATAAGATTTACATCATTACAAAGAATTCTTCCAGTCTGATAAACAGGACAGTAGCCAGAAAAAATAACGGGCAAAATAAATAAGAGGCCTTTTTCAGAAAAACTAGATGCGAGTCCCCAACAGGATACCTGAGGTCCCACTGCCCGCCTGTCTCTAGCAGTGCAGGGTGCTGCCACCCCGGGCGTTTAGGAGGAGCACACGCTTTGGGAGCCAGGGAGGAAGCCTATGCCTGGAGCGTGGTCCTTTGAGCCCCCTTCTGCCCTGTCGGAGTCCGGGCTGCAGGGTTGGTGACTGTGGTAATAAGGATACAAAGTATGTAGCGGGTGACTGAAAAGTCAAGCAGGACGGTATTCTGTGGAATATTGTGCAGCCATTAAAATGCTAGAATTTTCCACACACACCCAAATATTCTTTACAAGAGAAGTGCTGTCAAGAGCCTGTGCGTGAGCACAGCACAGGGCTGCGACTGCAGCCTGGAAGGGTGAGGACAGTGTGCACCACTGGGGTGTGCTGGGGAGGTGGTGAGGGGGGAGCAGGGCCGAATGGGGCCCCCCAGAAGGTGGTGGCACCGAGAGGAACCAGAGGCTGCAAGTGGGCAGTGGGCAGAAGGAGAGGAGGCTGGGTGCCTGGAAGTCATGCTGGACCGTGCTGCCAGGGCCAGTGGAAGGAGCACGGTCCTTCAGCTGTGTGGGGGCCAGTCCTGCGATCCTGCAACCTGGGAAGCTGAGGCGCAGGACGCAAGTCCCAGGCTGGCCTGGGCGCCCAGGCGAGTCTCAAAGTAAAAGCAGAAAGGGCTGGGGGTGCAGCTCAGTGAGTGTCCCTGGGATCCCCAGGATTGAAAAACCATGTCTTACCCATGAAATTGAGATCTGGGTGGTCAGTATCTGTGGTTGAGAAAGATGTAGGAAAACAGGTAGCTCACACTCACCTGGGTAGACCCACTCCCTGAGCAGTGGGAGGGGAGGCATTTGGTGGTGAGTTACAAGTCATGCGTGTGCGGTCTTGCCCAGAGGAGGTGACCAGCCACGTGCAAAATGGTTTGTTCAAGAAAGTTCACCTTGATAATTCAGAATAGAAAAAGCTGAAAACAGTCCAAATGTCCTAAAACTAGGAGACTGCTTATGTCAGGAGAGTTCGTAGACAGGAACACTACACAGGTGTGAAAAATGAGAACCATTCAGAATCGGGAAGTGAGAAGCAGGTCATGGTGCCAGCATCTGGTCTGTGGGTGTGCTGACATGCATTTTCCCAAGCTCAGAGGATAAGTGCACTGTGTTAACCCAGGTCTCTGGTACAAGAATTAGGCTCCTGGGCATTTTAATTTTCTTCTATGTTTTGCACATTTCCTAAGTGAGCTGAACTCTTGATGCCTTAGAGAGGAGTGTACACTGGCAGCGCTGCTCCCTGGGCCAGGACCTGAGGCTTGAGGCCCCATAGTGTGTCTTCCAGGCACGTTGACTTGGAAGTGGCACAGCGGCAGAGGCAGGGGCCCCCCAGGTCTTAGCTGCTGTCTCCCAGCTGGGCCACGGGGCTCTGCTGATGCAGACGGTTTATGTTGGCTTGCTAGCACCTTCTGTGGGCCCCCAGCCCCGTCCTCAGGTCCAGACGCCCCCGGAGCCAACACCCACAGGCACGGTTTCTTCCCGAGTTGGGCATCACTTTCAGGAGCATTGTTGCCAAGCCAAGGGTCAGCGCCTCCTTTCTCGCTTCTTCCTTGACATACTCTTCAGGATGCACAGCATCTGTTAGATTAAAGGTGGAGCTACGCTGGCGGCCCTCATTCTGCCAGTAGATGACCCAAATAATTTGCATAATATCATACTTATAATGTGAGTCTTTGAAAACATGGCGGTCACCTAGTCGAGAAAGAAGGAGAGGAAGGAGCAGGGTGCACTGTTTGCTTGTGTCTCCTTGCCTGTGCAGGAGGAAGAAGCCCTGGAGTGTGGGCAGGCGCAGCTCCTGCAGGAGGGCCCGCAGCCAGAGGAGTTCGTGGCTATTGCCGACTATGCTGCCACCGATGCCACCCAGGTAGCCACCGCGTGTGTAGTGTTCAGAGGCAAAGCTAGGCATAATTCTGTAAAGTCGTGCCAGGTGTTCAGAGCCCCACGAGGTCTTGAACAACCTCATAAGTAGGCCCAGCAGGACAGGGCGCGGCCCAATGGAAAGAGCCACTGCAGTTCCGCTTGAAACCCTCCACAGAGCCACCTGGTTAAATGACAGAAGGTTTGGTCGGGTGGGAGAGTCTGTGTGAATGCAGTTCCCTTTCCCATCAGGAGTCTCTGAGGGTGAGCCTCCAGTAGCCAGCTGTAGGGTGACTCTGTGCGTGAAGGGGCTCTGGAGAAATAACTGTGCTGAAGCATTTGGAAATGCGGGGTGCTCTACCACTGGGCTGCGACCCCAGCTCTTTTCTCAGTGAGCTGCCGAGGCTGTCCTGGAACCTGCATCCTCCTGCCTCAGCCTCCCCAGCTGCTGGGATCACAGGAGAAAGCTATTTTATTAACACCATCAACACACTTATAAATGCATAGAGAAAAAATGTAATAATAAAATTACTAAATTTATTGTATGAAATTAATATATAAATGTGATGAAATTTCGGTTAGAATCACAATGGGGCATGGCTTTTTTTATCAGATAAATAATTTTTTATTTTTTGGGAAGGTCCTAGGGTTTGAACCCAAGGATGCTATATTGCTGAGCTACCAAGGATGCTATTTTTTGAGACAGGGTCTCGCTGAGTTGCCCAGGCTGTCCTAGAACTTGCATCCTCCTGCCTCAGCCTCCCCGTTGCTGCGGTCACAGGATGGGCCACCCTTGCTTCCTTTTGAAAAGTACCAGTTAGCGGTGTCCTTCAGCGCCACAGAGGTCTCCTGACCTGCTGCGACCCCTGCAGACCCTCTGCACTTGGGTGTGCTCAGCAGGAAGGTTTGTCCCCAGTCACTGTGGACACTTGTGTTCTCTGCTGGATTTTAACTTGTCTGTTTTGGGTCTTTGCAGCTCAGTTTTTTCAGAGGAGAAAAAATTCTTATCCTGAGACAAACCACGGCCGACTGGTGGTGGGGCCAGCGCGCGGGCTGCTGCGGGTACATCCCTGCAAACCACGTGGGCAGGCAGGTGGCGGAGTACGACCCCGAGGACACGTGGCAGGACGAGGAGTACTTCGGCAGCTATGGGACCTTGGTAGGYGGCTCCCAGCCTGCAGCCGGCCTCTGCCCCTGTGGCGAGGCAGCCAGGCCCAGGCCTCCCCAGCACACTGAGCGATTTCACAGGACGACACACAGCACCGTCTGGTCTTTTGGTTTAAACACTGTGACAAACGTGGAAACCATTCTTAGTTCAGAGGCCCTACAGGAACGGGGTGGCTGTGTGCACTCGCGGTGGAGCCCCGGTGACGGCTGCTCGGGGTCCCTGCAGATCCCAGGCCGCAGGCGTGGGCCCTGGACCCAGGAGGCTTATTGTAGGGCGCTTCAAGGGTCCGTTTGTGGAGCTTTTGTGGGTCCCCTTTTCTGCAGTTCACAGCCCCTCCCCACCTCTCTTCTGGTTTGGGCGCCTCCCTGGGAGCCTGCGCTTGCTTCCCGCCCCTGGCGCCCAGTGGTTCTGCTGACAGTGCTCAGTCGGGAGCAGTGACAGCTCTTTGGTGCCCCGTCCCCTCCCTGTTGTGTAAGGCTCCCAGAGCACAGTCGGACTTGTTCCTGGACTGTCCGTGAACATGCCGGAAGGTGGGGGTGCCCCAGCGAGGGCTCGTGGCTCCTCCACCGGCGCTGTGTCCAAGTGCGGGTGTTGCAATCTCGGATCCCTCCTGTGACTTGCCTGTTTCTGGCATTTCTACCGGGATTGCCCAGTGTATCTGAAGCTCTGTTTTTAGGTACAAAAAATAATTGAAAAATATTGTGATTTTGATGAACCCATCTGGGTTATGCACTGGCCCTTCTCACTCCTGGCGACAGTTCTGCTCTGTGGTCTGTGCAGCCCCTCAGCTCTCCGGTTGTGCTGGCCCAGCTTTTTTTTCTGTGCTTTGCTCTAATCCCCTGTCTTTGCAGAATGGGGTCGTTCTAGGCAGCATAATGGGGCTTTGGCCTTCTGTCCACACTACTGAGCCCCTTCACCTGCCCCTTGGCCTTCATTCTGTGGCAGTGTCTTTGTGAACAGTGGTGAGAGTCCTGCAGGCCCTGTCCAGGCCTCCTGTTTGTGCTAGCAGGTCAAGGTGGTTGTCCTCATCTACTACCTGGCGGCTGCTTCTGTTCTGATCTGCAGCCCAGGGTACTGGGTGGCTGCAGCCTTACTGGCAGCGGGCTCTGCAGGATGCCCTCAGGGCATGACCAGGGCTGGTGGGGTTGTCATCTCCCCCAGAGCTATAGTTTTGGCCTTTCCCAAGCAATGAAGGAGCAAACTTAAATGTGAAGAGGATGTGGGAGCCCTGCTGCGTCCCCTGGCACCCCCTGTGGTGCATCCACTCCTCTCTGGATGGACCTGGCAGGGACTCAGCCGTGGGAGAGGGGCCATGGCCAGCAGCTCCTCCATCCTGGCTGGTCTACACCTTTGCTGGCTGGGCTCCTGGGGAGTGCACGGAGTTGGAAGGATCCCAGAAACTCCCTCTTGGCATGTCTTGTCTGACTTTTAAGCCTACCTGTTGCTCCTATTTCCAGGAGTGGGTTGGGTTGCAGCCCTGACCCTCCTCAGACCAGACCTCGGTGCTGCACCAGGCCCTCGCACTGAGTCTCAGTGTCTTCTCTAGAAACTTCACTTGGAGATGTTGGCAGACCAGCCGCGGACAACCAAGTACCACAGCGTTATCCTGCAGAACAAGGAGTCCCTGAAGGACAAGGTCATCCTGGACGTTGGCTGTGGCACCGGGATCATCAGCCTCTTCTGTGCACACCACGCTCGGCCCAAGGCAGTGAGCATGCTAGCTGGCCAGGCAGCCAGCACGGACTTGGCTTTCAGGATGGCCAGGGGTCCATCCTGAGAGGCTGGTGTGGGGAGGAAGGGAGCTGTTCAGCTGTCACAGACAGCTTGGAGTGCAGTGGACAAGATGGAAGTGACCAGCCCCTCGTGAGGCCAGAGGTGTTTTCTCGTGTTATTCTAGTTAAATATGCACGGGAGTTGGTTCGGCTGTGTCCGGGCCCCAGCACAGAGCTCCTGTGGAACCAGGCCCTCCCTGCACTTTGCCTCCTTGTGTGTGGGAGGGACGGCCCCTGGCAGGAGGGTGGGTGCTAGTTGACCGGGTTGCAGTGCAGTGGCCTCCTGTGCCCCGGATGCCAGGCCAACAGGCGGCAGTTGCATCAGACCCTCCTCCAATCTGACTGTCCCTCAGGCTGCCCATGAACCCACTGTCCTCTCTGCCTGTTGGGGACTATGCTTGCTGCACTGTGGTCCCTGACCCAGCAACTGCAGGTTCTCTCTGCCTGTGTCCTGGGTAGGCATGCTGTGCATGAGGCGCAGGAGGGGTGGGAGTGATCCGCACCTTCTTCTGCCACCCAGGGCACTGCCCTCTGCTGCTGCTCCTGGGGCTGGTTCTGTCTCTGGGCCACCCAGCATATGGGCACAGGTGCTGATGGTATCTTTGCCTGCAGGTGTATGCCGTGGAGGCCAGCGAGATGGCACAGCACACAGGCCAGCTGGTCCTGCAGAACGGCTTTGCCGACACCATCACTGTGTTCCAGCAGAAGGTGGAGGATGTGGTGCTGCCCGAGAAGGTGGACGTGTTGGTGTCCGAGTGGATGGGCACCTGCCTGCTGGTAAGGGCCGGACGTGTGTCAGGCTGGGGCCATCACAGGGATTTTGATTTCCCCGCGGTGAGGCATCTTGTGTGCACACCAGCTCAGGATTGTGACTTGTTGACTGATGATGGGAGATTTGGGTTGATCAGGTGTGCCTTGCTCATGGTGGCTCACTGCACTCTTGGCCTGTGGAGGTCCAGTGCCTGACCGAGGTGGTCTCCCTAGTTATAGCCACCCATCTCCTGTCTCCTCTCACTTGAGGCCAGACCTGGCAGCCAGTCAGTGTCTGTGAGACTGCAGGCGCCTGTGGGTGGAAGGGGGCCGTTTCTGGCCACTGGTCAGTGTACGTGCCCACTCCTTTGTTACCATGCTGCCAGCTCAGAGGAGAGGGACAGGCTGGTGGAACAGGCCTATCATGCCCAACCCTCCTTCTGGTCTTGGCACCAGGGGACTCAGGCGTTGTGGTGAGATGTCACTCGGCAGTTTAGTCTGCATCAAAATCTGAAACAACTGCACCAGGTAAAGGGGGTGACATGTGATGGACATGTCCCCGAGGGCCTTGTGGGTGGTGGATATGTGTGTTGCCTGGAGAGACAAGAGCAAGGACGCTGGGCTTTGGCCCTGCAGAGGTCACATTGTGAATGCTGTGGATTTGGAAGGTGATGCACAGCAGAGAGGGGCTATGCCAACCCAGGCGTGCAGTCACCTTTGCTGAGAGTGCTGGTGCTGCCCAGAGGAGGTGCCCTATGCACTGCTGGCTATGGGTGGACAGACGACAGGGACTGGATAGGTGGACACTTGGCCCTGTGCTGCTGAGAGAGGAAGCCCAGTTGCCAGAGTCCTTGGCTCTGAGGCTAGGAGGATGTGGGTTCAGGGGCGGGAGGAGCTGCCACCTGCCACAGGCATCAGGGAGGTGACGCCAGGCCCAGCTTGGGTGCTCCGATCTAGAAGGCTTGGTGCAGCCTCCAGGGCTCAAGGAGCCTGGTGTGTTGGGAGCCTGGTGTGTGGCTATAGGTGGGGTCCAGTGCAGCGATCAGGGCCCGGGGGTAGCTAGGTCCAGCAGAGTGGTAGGGACCAGAGGTAGATGCATCCAGTGTAGTGGCTGAGGCCTGGGCGTAGCTGGATCCAGTGCAGCCGCTGGGGCCTGGGGTTAGCTGGGTCCAGCAGAGCGGTAGGGGTCTGGGTTAGCTGGGTTCAGCAGAGTGGTAGAGGTCTGGGTTAGCTGGGTCCAGCAGAGTGGTAGGGACCAGAGGTAGATGCATCCAGTGCAGTGGCTGAGGCCTGGGCGTAGCTGGATCCAGTGCAGCCGCTGGGGCCTGGGGTTAGCTGGGTCCAGCAGAGTGGTAGGGGCCTGGGGTAGCTGGGTCCAGCAGAGTGGTAGGGGTCTGGGTTAGCTGGGTCCAGCAGAGTGGTAGGGGCCTGGGGTAGCTGGGTCCAGCAGAGTGGTAGGGATCTGGGGTAGCTGGGTCCAGCAGAGTGGTAGGGGTCTGGGGTTAGCTGGGTCCAGCAGAGTGGTAGGGGTCTGGGGTAGCTGAGTCCAGTGCAGCAGCTGGGGCCTGGGGTTAGCTGGGTCCAGCAGAGCGGTAGGGGCCTAGGTGTAGCTGGGTCCAGTGCAGTGGCTGGGCCTGGGGGTAGCTGGATCCAGTAGAGCAGTAAGGGCCTGGGGGTAGCTGGATCCAGCAGAGCAGTAAGGGCCTGGGGGTAGCTGGATCCAGCAGAGCAGTAGGGGCTGGGGGTAACTGGGTCCAGGGCAGCGGCTGAGGCCTTTGGGTAGCTGGGTCCAGCAGAACAGTAGGGGCCTGGGGATAGTTGGGTCCAGGGCAGCAGCTGAGGCCTAGGTGTAGCTGGGTCCAAGCAGTGGCTGAGGCCTGGGGTTAGCTGGGTCCAGCAGAACAGTAGGGAACTGGGGGCAGCTGGGTCCAGTGCAGTGGTTGGGGCCTGGGGTTAGATGGATCCAGCAGAGCAGTAAGGGCCTGGGGTTAGATGGATCCAGCAGAGCAGAAAGGGCCTGGGGTTGGCTGGATCCAGCAGAGCAGTAAGGGCCTGGGGTTAGCTGGATCCAGCAGAGCAGTAAGGGACTTGGAGTAGCTGGGTCCAGCAGAGTAGTAAGGGCCTGGG